GGGGGGAAGGGGGGGGTCAGGAAGTTAGTGTTCAGCAAATGTTGAATGAATAGTTCTTACAAGACTACAATTCCCTACAGGCACCAGTCCTAAGCTGTCCTTCTGACACCTGCATAATCTTCCTAGGTCGGATCCACCTGCAGAATGCCTTCCTCAGGCCTGGAATTCAGGAGGACCCTTTGCAAAGATTTTCGTAAGGCCGCTTGATGGCTCTTTGAGAAACACGTGCAAGCAGTCTTTTTCACTCCCAGGCTTTTCTTGCATACAAATCCAAGCAAAGGCAACTGTTGGTATTCTCCCAGCCGGTGCCCTCGGTTTCCGGAGGCGGCACGTTCCAAGGGCCGACATACCCAGGGAGCCGCGGCGGAGGGCAGCCCTGTAATCCGTCTGCTCTGACGCCCCTTTCCTGTCCCCACCTGCTGGCTCCCCGCCCTGTGGCGGGCGGGCACGTGCCAGCGTCTGCGCCCCCTCCCGGGCACCCGGGGCTGCTGTCCGCGCGCTGTGGGCTGCTCTGGAAGGGAATCCCAGAGGAAGCCATTGTTGTTATCGTGTCCCCTGTTGTCATCGGTTGAGGTGTGCCTGGAACCCCCTTCCCCGCATGGGACCCCGCAGTTTCTTTCCATTCTCGAGCTCGCCCGCCCTGGACGCTTGGGGCGAGGCTACCGCATCCGAACCCTGGAATGCGCGGTGGCCCCTCTGCGTCCCAGCTCCAAGGATCTCAGAATTGGGGAAGCCCCAGCTCTGGTGCGGAGCTTCGAAAACCGACGGCGCCAGGCGAGACGTGCCTGGGGCCCTGGCATAGCGGGCGAGGACATGAGCTCCATCCCAGCTCTGACGCGGACCACAAGATGACCTTGCCTGGTAGCTTCCCCTCTCGCCACCTCAGTTTGCTCCCCTATGACCTGAGAGGGAACTGAGGCCCCATGCCTATAGGGGAGGTTGGAGAGAGAAAGCCACCTCCACCGCACTCCCTTGCCCCGCCTGGGCTTTGGGCTGGGCCGTCGGCGAGGAGTGGCAGGCAGGGCGCCAAGGAAAGGCTGGCGCGGGCCTGGGGCGCGGCGTGGGTGGAGGCGCGGCGCCCAGGGCGCGCGCAGACCCTTTCGCGCTTCCGTTGCGCACCGTTCCCCGGCGCAGTACGGTCTCTTCGCACTCGCCGCCCGCAAACCTTGGCACCAGCCGCACTCTCCCCCGCCGGAACAGCCAGCCCGCCGCCCAGCTTGCCTAATCCGTTCAAGGCTTACCTCCTCCGCGAAGCTCTCCCGGGTTAACCCCATCACTTCCAACCACTCTATCTGGCACGTGCTCCGGGTTTTGTATTTTTTTTTTTTTCTTTTGGAAACGCACTCACGGTCTCATTGTTTGGCATTATAATGTTGGGGCCGATAGTCTATCCCTGGAACCTTAAATTCAGGACGCCCAGTGTGTTCTGAAGGATGCGGTTGATGGGTTTCTTACCTGGGCTCACTAACCACTCCTACCCTCCGCGCCTCCTCATCCATGCTCACTCTTTCCTTTCCTCCTGACTACTTTCAGAGTGTCGCAGCTTGGAGTGCACCATCCGATCCCCACCCAGCTTTCATTCTACAGTGGCGGCAGGCGTGAGGGGCAGAGAGCATTGAGCATTTGAAGCTTCGACTCCAGGCTCGCCCACCGACTTTGCTGTAAGTCACTCCTTCCCCTGGACTTTAGTTAAAATGAAGTAATGCCCGGGAAGGTGCTACAGGTTCGGGGGTAAGGAATCACCTGCTGACAAGCTTACCCCAGGCTCCCTCCAAGAGCACTGGCTTGTGCCCCCGGAGAGGTGGCGCCGCTCCTCTCTCCTCTGGCTGCCCCAGCCTCTGAGCGACAAGACTTCGGCTCGCACTCTCTTCAGTCGCCAGTGCGGCTCCCTGAACCGAGAAAGGAAAGAGGATGGGGTTCCAGGCCCAGCCCTTTAGTCACCGGCTGCATGACCCTAGACACTTCTTCCTCTGGGACTCAGTTTACTCATCAGAAAAATAGGGATAATAATGGATTGAAGGAGAGCAGGAAGCTTTTTGTCACCCAATGTTTCTGTATAAAAATAAATGGTAATGAGCATACAGTGCTTGGCAGCAGATCTCGCTCACTAATTCCGACCCCACATCCTCCTCAGAGAGATTTCTGGACGGAGTCCCTCGAGTTCTCCCTGATGTCTCACGGCTCACCCCACTTTTTTTCTGGTTCTCTTGAGATAGGTAATGGATTCACACCTGTTCCTGCCTCTGCGTGGAGGCCTGGGCCCACGAGGTGACGAGTGGCGGGGCGACGCACCCGCGCGGGCGTGCAAGGCGCGGTATTCCTTGGGCGAAGGTGGGTGGCGAGGTCCCCAGGCCTGAGGAGCTTGGCTGGGAGCCGGTAGGCGGGGCTTGGGCGGAGGCGGGGCTAGTTCGCCGAGGGGAGGGGCTATGGAGATGAGGTGTTCTCCAGAACCCGGCGGGGCGCAGGGGGCTCCCGCCGCCCCGACCTGGCTCTGGCACAGGGAAATGGGGCTTTGGCTCTGGGGTGGGGCTCGGGGGCGGGGCCTCGGCGTGGAGGAGAGGCAGGGGAGCCTGGAGGCGGGGCTTGGGGAGCTCGCCCCACGCGGGGCGGGGCTCCAGCGGCCGCGGGATCTGCAGTTCGGACTCCCCGCGCCACAGTCGCCGCAGTTCCCTCCACTCTGGTGGCCCCGCGGCCCTGCGGGGAGTCCGGGGGTCGGCTGGCCTCTCGGACTTGGCGCGGGGCTGGCCCCGCCTTTCCCTCCCTCAGTGGGTCCTAGACAGTCAGGACCGCAGGGACATGGAACCCTCTCCCGCCACGGGGGGCTCGGAGACCACTCGCCTGGTGAGCCCCCGGGACCGCGGCGGCGCCGGTGGCGGCCTGCGTTTGAAGAGGTAGGACAGACCTGGGCCGGCCCTCAGCCCGGGGGTGCCACCCTTCTGCCATCGGTCTATTTCGTTGTCTCCCTCGGCGCGGCCCCGGCGGGCCGCCCCAGCGCACCGAGGCTCCCTCGGCTTTGCGGCGCCGTGCTCCGTCCCCTCCGGCCGCACAGAGCCCCCTTCCCTCGGCCCTCCCAGCCAGCCCGGACCCTCGCCGCTCAACAACCCGCTACACCTGCTCCCGGCCACCTTCTTCCTCCCGGTCCCGCGAAACGGCTCCCCGGCCCGCCCCCCAAGCCTCCGGACCCCTCCGCCGCCCCCGCCGCGTCCGACTTCCCTGCGAGCGACTAACCCTCCGTCGAGCCGGAGTTCTCGCCAGGTGTCCAGATGTCCGCATTGCTCCGGGGCCCTGGTGGCGGGAGCACCTCGCCGCCCAGGCTTCGGAGCCCCATTTGCAGGCCCCTGGCCCTGCCCTCCGCGCACCCGGGCTCGGGGCGCCCCCTCCAGCCGTGGCCAGCTGTGGTCGCCCGGGCCAGCAATGGGCCCGGGCTCCGCGGTGGGTCTTCCGGGCCCCTGGGGGGCGGGCGGCCGCGGGGAAGCGAGGGGGCGGCAAGGAAGGAGCAGGTGCGGTCTGGGCGGCAGGGGGTATTCCCGGCTCCGCACAGACGGGGCCGGGGGCGGCGAGGTGTGAAATGAGGCGCGCCGAGCGGCCGGGACAGCGGGCCGGGGGCGGCCGGAGAACCGCCTCCGCGTCCCGCCGGCCTCCCGCGCCCGGCGCCCGCCGGCTCTGCCCGCCTGGTCCCGCGGAGCGGCCGCGCCAGGCCCTTCCCGGCCACCTCCGCTGGCCATTTTGTCTGTCGGCTCACCGTCCGTTTGTCTCGAGAATTTGGCAGGGTCTCAGGCTTTTTCTCTTCCCTCATCTTTCCCAATCTTTCTGTTCCCCCTCCCAGCCCCTCTCCCTTTGTCTCTGACGTGGTGCCTCTGTGTGTTTCTCGCTCTTTCTCTGGGTGGGGGCTGTAAACCTGAGTGGGTGGGGGAGTGGATTAGCAGAAGAGAGAGAAGACTTCCCGTCTGATTCCTTCCTGCAGGGGACTACAGACTGTGGGGGCTCCAGCCGTGGTCCTGGCATCTCTTCACATATCCTTTTGACTCTGCTTGAGGCCTGTCTCCCCTCCCTACATCTCCCTTCACCCTGGCTTAACATTATTTGTTTTTATTTGTTGGGGGTTTCAGAGGGCCAGGGAGAGACAACTGCCTTTCCTTCCTTCTAAACAGCATGTAGCCCCCCCCACAAACACACCCACTCACACACCAACAGTGAGGCTTCTTTAGTACCCAATTCATGCAGAACAAAAGGGAGCAGCCTGTTGATGGGTGGGTACCTTGATGACTGGCTGCGCTGTGCCTTACAGGGCCAGGGAGGCATCTTGCCCACTGCCCCAAAGCCACCCAGCCTCTGTTTGCTCTTCAGACCTGTCTCTCTGACACCCAGCTCATCTCTATTCTCATATGACCATTAGTCACCAAATCTTGCAGTATTTTCTGAAAGAGGCTCTTCTCTACCTACCTACCCCGCCTCAAAAATTTTGTGCAGGGAGCCTCTGGCCTGCTCTATTCTGAACCCTTCCATCTCTCCTCTCTTCCTCCCAGACTAGTACATCGGCAAGGTCATCTCAGGGCTCAGGAAAGATGTGTTCAATCAATCAGTGTATCTCCCTTTATGTTCCTCTGAGCCGATAGCTTTCCTCCTCAGCCCTTCCCCTGACTCCTCACACACTCCAAGCTCTATACCTTGTCATTGTCATTCTCTTCTCCACCTCTCTCATCTTCAGCCTCTCTCCTGTGACGTTCTCCTCACCTCCATTATAGTTGTTCACTCCCTCCCCTGTGCTCCAAAGTCCTTTGTTCATAACCCTCCTGGCCCCAGCTTCTCCTTGCATAGTAAGTCGTTTGTGACACGTCTGTCTCTCCCACTAGACTGGTCTTCAGTGTGTATACACTGCCTGGCACACCTCACTGAAGAATGAGGATGGGTTTCGAAGCCACCCTCATCTCCCCATCTCCTCTGGAAACACACCTAGAGTCATACACACCCAGATTCTAAGTCTTGGAAGGAAATTCCAAGAAATTAATCTACCTACCAATACTTAAATTTTCCCTGCAGGCACCAAATGTCCCCCTACCTCCCTCACGCTCCAATTCACCCACTTGGCAGAGCTTTCTTCAGCCAGAAGGCCCCAGCACCCCTCCCCACAGATTTACTGCTATGACCATCTTGCTATCTGGAGCCTGCATTTTATTCATGGGTATTCTGACACACCTCCATGAGTATTTCTAGGACTGTATTTTTCTATCTAGGTCCTTTATTCTATGGAAGGTTCTCTCCTTGCTGGGGTTCAGGTTAGGTAGTTCGTTGGACGTAAAACTCAGTTAGCCTGAGCTCAGCCTTTGGCACCCATCAGTGAGGCCCTCAGCCCCATTCATTTGTCAACAGAGGCTTATGGCACTGTGCAGTTAAGGTGACAGGGTGCGTATGGTTGGAGGTTCACCTAACATGTGGCAGACTCCAAATCCAGTGCTCCTACCACTACCATCCCTGGAAATAACAGTCTGCACTCTGTCCTCCCCATGACTAACCCCAGCTTTGGAATCTGGCCATTAGTTCTCTGGGCCAGGAGCCTCAGACTTTTTGGGTTTCAACATTACACTCCTCTCTTAAAGGGCCACAGTTCAGCTGCATGTCTAGAGAGGGAAAGTAAAAGATCTGGGAGTGGAGGCACTGGAGGCACTGGGAGGTGCACCTGGGAGGGAGGCACTAAGGCCAGGATCAGTACTGAGTCCTGCCCACACTTTGACACCACCCTCCCTGTGTATTGCCTCTGCTTTGTGTGTTCACCTCCCCTTTATCAAAGCCCTCCCATCCTTCAAGGCTCTTCTTATGGTGCCTCCCTCCTTCAGTTGTTTCCCTGATTTCATCAGAATTAATCTGTCCCTCTATCCTTGGAACTCTGATAGCACTTTAACCACTCTAATGGTGATAGCTACCTGCTGCTACATATCTTAGTATTTAGGTACACATTTGTCTGGTTCACCAAAAGCTTCCAGAGATCAGAAAGATGTCCTGCTCATTTTGAATTCCTCATGGTGCTTATCATAAGGAACTGATTTTGTTGGAGTCTAGTCTCAGCTCTACCACTAACTAGCTGTGTGTCCTTCATAAGTCATCTCCATCTCTGAGCCTCATACTTGTAATGTCTTTAATAAAGTGTTAGACCATCTCTAAGGTGCTTTCCAGGTGTGGAAATCTATGGCTCTTTGTGTGAAAGGCAAGGAGGCTGGGATCTGAGCTCTTCATTTAGCCCCTATCTCTCATGTGGTCCTCTGTCTGCAAGACTTCTGGGTTTGACCAGACCTTGGGAAGGAGCGAGAGATGGATCACATCTGATGAAGCCAGTCTTGGGGACCCAGGACCTGGGAGTGAGGAGCAGGTCAGCCCGGGGGCCAGGCCCCAGGTTGAACCCTGTGCCCACCTCAGTCTCTTCACAGAGCCCTCAGAGCCCCTCTCCGAGCAGCCCAAACCTTTGGAGATGCCCTTCCACCACTGCCACAGGGACCCTCTGCCTCAGCCGGGTCTCACCCCTGAGAGGCTTCAGGCGCAGAGGCAGCTATGTGCTGCCTGTGCTGTGTGCTGTGTCTTCATGGCTGGGGAGGTGGTCGGTAAGTTGAAGCCCCTCCAACCCCATCCCTTTGACAACTGCCTAAGCAACTCTCCATCCAGAGTCTGAGGGACATTCCTGGGTGGAGAGGCAGAGAAGATAGAGATGGCTGGGATGGGGGAGTTGGGTGCTCAGGACTCCGGAATTGGACGAGGGTGAGGGACTGCACCAAGGGGACTTGAGGGCCAGGGCTGGCTTCTCAGTGTTAACCGGTCTCTTTAAGTCCTATTTTCTTGTTATTAAAATATGTCATTGTAGAAAAACTAGGAAATGTGGATAAGTGAAAAGAAGAAAATACAAGCATACCTTGGAGATATTGCAGGTTTGATTCCAGACCACTGCAATAAAGCGAGTCACATGAATTTTTTGGTTTCCCAGGGCATATAAAAGTTGTGTTTACATTATACTGTAGTCTATTAAGTGTGCGATAGCATTCTGTCTAAAAAAACAATGTTCATACCTTAACTAAAAGATACTTTATTGCTAAAACATGCTAAACATCATCTGAGCCTTCAGCGAATTATAATATTTTTACTGGTGGAGAGTCTTGCCCTCTGCGTAATATCTGCAATCCACAATAAATTGAAGCATGATAACATGAGGTGTGCTTGTAGAAACTACCTGTAATCCCATTACCAGAGAAGAATCACAATTCACATTTTGGTATATGTCCCCCCAATCTCTTTTCCATGCCTAGACACACACACTGCATGATATTTTCTAAATGGAACCGGACTGTACATCATTTTACCCTTGCAGGTGGGTATTTGGCGCACAGCCTGGCCATTATGACTGATGCAGCCCACCTGCTCGCAGACGTGGGCAGCATGATGGGCAGCCTCTTCTCCCTTTGGCTCTCTACCCGTCCAGCCACCCGCACCATGACCTTTGGCTGGCACCGCTCAGGTAAGGCCCCTGCATGGCCTGGTGACCCTTCAATCTTGTCAGAGGTTACCTCTCAGCGTCCCGGGCAGGTCTCTGATAGCTTGTCTCCCCCTGCAGAGACTCTGGGGGCTTTGGCCTCTGTGGTCTCCCTCTGGATGGTCACTGGCATCCTCCTGTACCTGGCCTTCATTCGCCTGCTGCACAGCGACTACCACATCGAGGGGGGTGCCATGCTGCTGACCGCCAGCATCGCAGTCTGTGCCAATCTGCTGTACGTTCCAGTATGGAGCAGGCACCATGTGGGGCTCAGGGCAAGGGGTCTTCCTCCAGGATGGGAGAGCTGGCTTTCCCCTCCCTGACAGACATGCAACACGTGACACGGTTCTCAACTCTCTGCCCTGGGGATGCCTGAGAAGGGGACTGGGATAGAGACCTAAAATTCAGAGTCAACAGACATTTGTTAAAGGCCTACTGTGTACCAGCCCCTCTGCGAGGGGCTTTCAACAGTATTGACTCATTTAAAGCTCACAACCACCATGAGGTAGGTAGTACCACCCCTCATACACAGTTAATAAAATAGATCCCCAGAGGTGACCAGGCGACTTGCCCAGGCCACATAGCTATTTCTGTGGCAGGGCCAGGATCTGAATCCACGTCTCCAGCACCAAGTCCAGTATTCTTTCCCCAGGTTGCACTATTTGTCTCTCTTAGACAAGGTTGTCTTCTTCCTGGGCCTGAGAAAATAGGTGCAGAAGGGGGTCCTGGGGAGGTGAGAGGAGGAGGCGTGGAAACAGGGCTGAGGAGGCTGGGAGCAGGCCGCCTGGGCTGAGCTGTTCTGCTTCCCCCTCAGAATGGCCTTTGTGCTGCACCAGGCTGGGCCCCCCCACAGCCACGGGTCTAGGGGGGCAGAGTATGCACCGCTGGAGGAGGGGCCTGGGGAGCCCCTGCCCATGGGGAACACCAGCGTCCGGGCGGCCTTTGTGCATGTGCTCGGGGACCTCCTGCAGAGCCTTGGGGTGCTGGCTGCCTCTGTCCTCATCTACTTCAAGGTACCGTCTGTGCAGGCCTGCGCCAGCCTTCCTCCCCCATCCACACCCAGCCCCTCCTTCCCAGGACCCACAGCCTCCCTTCCCCAACTCCAGCTCCCTGCTCCCCTGGAGTCCTGGCCTGGGGTCATGGTCCCTTTCTCCTCAGTAGGATTCTTAGGGGCTTCTCCTGTCCTGTTTGTCCAGGATGCCACTAGATCTTCCTCTGAAAGTTCTCTGTTTACTGGGCTTAGGGAACTCTTTCTCCACAGCCTCAGTACAAGGCAGCTGACCCCGTCAGCACCTTCCTCTTCTCCATCTGTGCCCTTGGATCCACGGCTCCTACCCTCCGAGATGTTCTTCGTGTTCTCATGGAAGGTAAATCAGACGCCCCCACTCCCCACCCCTGGGGTCCTCTCTGCCCTCATTTTAGCATTGGGTGCCTCTCTTTTTCTCTGAAGAGAGTGTGGGGAGAAGGCCTGGGTCATGGGGACCATTGCTGGAAGGAGGATTTAGGCACAGGGTAAATTGCGGGGGTCAACAGGGTGACTAGGTACAGGATGGAGGAGGTGGAGTCTGGTGGGGAGCTGCCCTCGAGCGGGAGTGGCCTTGACAGTAAGGCATGGTGGGTGTTGCTTGCAGGTACCCCCCGAAGTTTGGGGTTTGAGCCTGTGCGGGATACACTGTTGTCAGTGCCAGGAGTCCGGGCAACTCATGAGCTGCACCTGTGGTCCCTTACGCTCACTTACCATGTTGCTTCTGCACACCTGGCTATTGGTGAGTCCACACTGGCCCCAGCTGGTTACATCCTAGAAATATTTCTCCCTTCCCCTCCCCCTCCAAACATAGGCAGATAGCCTGAATTAATGGAATTCTTTCAGTCTCTCTACCTTTCTCCATCTCTCTCTCTGTCTCCGTCTCTGTTTCACACACACATGCATGTTGGAGACAAGGAGCCCTGGACAGGGTGTTCTAGGGGAGGTTTCACCCTCCCTGAAGTAGTGCAGGGAATCAGCCAGCCTTAAAAGATCACTAGTGCCTGCAGGATAGGTACACTTGGTGGGGTGTCTCATAGCTACTAAAAATGGGGATTATGAAGACTGTATGGCAATTAGGAAAAATGTTTACAGTATAATGCTAAGAGAAAAAAGCTGAATATAAAATTATATCTACATTATGATTCAGCTATTAAAAATATATATGGTGACTCACAAGCTGACAAAGGATTTTTGAGTTTCTTCCAGATGCAAGAAGCAATCAGAGACATGCAATTTGGATGCCAAAAATATTATACTTGTGGGATTTTTGATGGTAACTAACTCTAGAGGGACAATGGGACAGAACATTTAACATCTGGATTGTCCTGGAAAATTGGGTGGTATGGCTACTGAAACACACTGCTGCATATTGATACTAAAAGAGCAGGAGAGAATAGAAAAATAAGGACAGTTTGGTGTGTTAGCAGGGTTGATTAGGGGTGAGTCTTTTCAATCTTTTCTTTGACGTTTTCACGTTGTTCGTACAATACAGGAGGAATATAAAGCTCCCCATTCAATCCTGGCTTTAATTCCATACCAGCCCCTGGGTCCCCCTTCACCCTCCCTTATCTCGGCCCCTGCCTGGTTCCGGACTCCCCTGGGAAGCTGCTGCCTCTTATCACTCTCCCGCAGACTCCACGGCTGACCCTGAAGCTGTCCTGGCTGAAGCCACATCCCAGCTCCACTCCCGGTTTGGATTCTCTAGCTGTACCCTGCAGGTGGAGCAGTACCAGCCTGAGATGGCCCAGTGCCTGCGCTGCCGGGAGCCCCCCCAAGCCTGAGCCACGGCCCCGCCCTCACCCCACTGCCAGGCCCAGGTTCAGCCCCGGACTCTCAGCACCTGCCTCCCTGCTCATGGAGAAGGGACAGAGCTGGGCCCGTACCCCTTCCTCTCTTCCTCCTTCCACCTGTCAACTGCCCCGCCCCCAGCCCCAGTGGGCAAGACCAAAGTATGTGTTGGGGGGTGGGGTGGGAGTCAGGCTGAATGGGGGAATCAGTGCACTGGGGGTGTAGAAGTCCCATGGTCCCTGCTCCCCACCATCTGAGGAGCCAAGAGTGTCCTTTCCATACAGTTCATTTGTCTGTGTGGCAAGCTGGCTGACTGGCTGGGGGCATCTGCCTGTCTGTGTGCTGTTGTTGTGCCTATGCCTGGGGGAGGTCAGCAGGGGCCCCCCTCCCCATCTGGTCCTCGCTCTGTCTATGCAGGAGCCCCAAAGTGTGCACTTTGTCCGTGTGTTCTAGCCCTGTGGTTTTGTCTTTGTGTGCGTGTGTTTCCTGGTGCTGTGGCCTGTGTGTCTCTGTGCCTGTCTGGCTGTGCTATGGTCTCTTGAGTCTGCACCATCCGTGTGTCTGTTTGGGGGTCTGTCTGTCCATCCCTCTTTTGGTGCTGTCCCCTCGGCTATCCCAGAGAGAGGGAGGACTCCGCCACAGCTCCACCAATAAACTTGTGTCTAACTGCATCTTTCAGCCCCTGTGCTGACTCCTCAGGAGGGGGAAATAGAATTGGTCATCTGGGAACTGATGGAATCCCACAGGAGTGAACTTCCACAGCCCTCCTACCCCTTCTCAGCCTCTCCACCTTCTTCACCCTCAAATATCCATTTTGATGGAGGCTAAAACCCGCCAGGCCCTTTACTACCTTCCCCAGTCGCAGCATGCTTGAGCCTGGGGCTTTGGCTAGGGAGAGCCCCCGTGTGCCCTGGGCCTGGCTGCAGAAGAAAATTGGAAGGCAAGAAGCCAAGGGATCCTGGGGAGTCACTCCTAAAGGCTCCCGCAGGCCACGCTGGCCTCAGGCTGGTTGGAGGGAAGCTGCGTCCCTTTGGGGGAGAGTGGTTGGACCATGGTGCTGATGTGGGCCCTGTTCTCAAGTGGTGTAAGGTGCCGGGAGGGCCCTCAGTCCCAGTGCCCCGGCCCTGAGTCCAGGTTTGGGCGGCAGACACCGAAGACCTCTCTTACAATTATTCCCCCTTTGCCTCAAGAATCATGTTTTGACAGATTTGATCTTACAAACCAGGCTCATTAAGGGATTGTTGATTTTCTCTTTTTAAAAAAATCAAACTTTGTGCTTTGATTTTAGACTTTGTGCTTTGGATCAGCGGGAATTCACGGACCTTCCCTGCCTAGGTTGAAAGAATTTTAGCCTGAAGCAAAGACTGAGCACTTTCATTAGCCCATACATATTTCTGCAAGGCCATCCCTCCCATAATGGAACTATCTCTACTACAAAATTATCTTTTTTTATTATAAAAGCATATTATAAATATATGCTTGTTTTAAGAGTCCAACAAAAGAAAAACATATAAAGTAGAAAACGTTACTCCTCCAATCTTACTCTCAGAGATAACTGCTATTCACAGTCTGGAGTCTCTCTGCCCATATTTTTATATATGTACAAACACTTCTATATAATAACATAAATGGGATCATTTATAGGCGAGAGCCTGTAACCTGCTGTTATGACTCAACCATACACCCTGGCTGCATCCTTCTGTGTCAATACACATAGATTTCATTACTCTTTCTAAGGTGAGGCTTTTGGACTAGTTGAAAATAGGCCTCTGCACTCTGATCTCCAGCTGGGGGCCCAGCCACGGCTGGATGAGTCGCTGCTGGCCTGATGGCCTGAGTCGGGCGCCAGAGGCTGGGCTGAGGTGAGGCGCTGGCAATTCATCAGACTTGGGGGCCGACGTGGAGGCTGCCCCAGCTGCTTTCCATGCTTTGCTGGTTCCTGATACTTTCTCATTTTACGTCTCATTGATTACAGGCCCCAAGTGATGGGATGGGGGTTGGGAAGAGTGAGGAAATGGAGTATGGGGAAAATGAGGACTAGATTTTCACCCTGTAAATAGCCTTAAGCGGCAGCCCCACCCTATATTCACAATGCTGAGTCCCTTTGCAGGGGAGGGAACAGAATGTTCAGGGCAGAAAGAGGCCTCGCAAAGCCTGCCTTCCATCTCTACCCCACACCCCTGGAAAATGAGGAAGAGGAAGCAAGGCTCAGAGAGGGAAAAGGATTTCCCCAAGGTTACCCAGCAAGTGACCGGCAGGAGCAGAGCCAGGGCTCTCAACCCCACTCAGGCCCCTCTGAAGCTCTTGCCCAGTTTGAGTTTCTCAACAAATCTTTTCTCAGCTCCATCCCAGCAACCTGCTGCTCCTGGCACTCTGATCCTGGGGCTCCGGACTCAGGCTCCTTGGTTCTGCCTCGGCCTTCTATTAACACTCTGTTAGCCTCCCTGTGCCCCAGCTTTCCTCACTGTAAAAAGAATTACGGGACATCGTGGGTGTGAATGTGCCTGGTGTATAGAGGGCCTGAAAGAAAGGGTTAGCTTTTGGGTGGAGCCCAGGATGCAGGGGAGAGATTTCAGGGGACAGCAGGGACAGGAGCCAACATTGATTGAGCTTACACTTGGAGCAAGGCACTTTGAGGTAGATAGTATTATCTGCATTTTACAGATGGAGAAACTGAGGCTTACCTGGCCAAGGTCACGCAGCTAACAACTGTCAGAATTGAGGCTTGAACTCAGTTCTGACTGCTCTAAGTCCCCAGCCCTTCTTCATACCACTCTGCCTCTCCACCCACTTCCAGGCATGGCTCTGTCAGGTACAGGGAAGGACGGAGGATCAGAAGCATTCTCCCTCATTCATACAGCACTCCCGGGGGAGTCCAGGAAATCCTAATCTGCAAGAGCTGCCTGTACCACCCCTCTTATCTCTCCAACCCACCTCCTCCACTTGCTCATCCAGAGGCCCTTTCCCCTTGGAGCCCTTCCCTGATGATAAAATCTGTGGTGGAGGGACAGATGAAGAGAATGGGAGGAGGACGAAGGGGAGGCCAGAGGAAGAGCAGAGAGAGGAAAGGGCCCATCCATCAGCCCAGCCCTGGCAGCTCTTTACACAGCTAATTAACCAGGGGAGGAGAGGGGGGAGGGCTGCCATGAGGCAGAGAGGGATCAGAGAAAAGGGAGAGCCAGAGGAGGGTGAGGTGGACAGGAGGGAGGGAGACAGGTGTGTCACACAGAGTGTAGCTGTAGGAGTGTTTAAGAGAGAGACAGACAAGGAGCCCGACAGAAAAGCCAGAATGGGAGGGTGTGGATTCGAGAGGCCTCGTGCTGCAGAGACTGGGCCTGGGGAACATCTGGGTAGATGGGCAGGCCCTGCCCTCCTCACTGTGCTGCTCACCTGGGGGCTGCCAGGCCAGCTGGCCTGGGACAGGTTGCTCCTTCCTGTCTGAGGGCCGAGGGCTGAGGTCCCGGCAGCTCTGGGGTCAGGAGGAAGAGCAGGGTGATAAAATTGTGTCCACCTCCTTCCAGTGCCCCTGCTGCCCCTGCAGGGACTTGAGTGCAGGCCAATCTAAAGGAGGAGCTAGGGACCCATCTTGGCTGCCTTGAGCCAGACCCCGTCAGAGGGAGAGGAGCGCCCCCATGAGGCCCATGCTGCGAAGGCTCTGGAGGAAATCTCAGGACCTGAGTCAGGATAGGAAAACCCCTGCCTATCTTCCTGACAGACTTTCCCACCTCTGTGGAGAACTGCATTTAGGACATTTCCTTTAGAGTTGAAGGATTCTTCATCTCCAACTCTGGGAGTTCCCAGGGCCTTCCTGTCCCTGCTATGAGCTCCAGGGCCATCTCATCAGCACTTGGTCAGTACGTTCCAAGGGGTGCCATTCCCAGAGCCCTGTGGGGCAGAGCCTGGGGTGGCAGATGCAGCCGTGATCACAAGTGATCCCACAGACAAAGTGGGCCCTGTTTCCAGGACTGGTAAGAGAAAGCATGTGCGGAGAATGGGGACGAAGGAGGGGCCCAGGACTGTGAGAGCCTGTGCCTCTCCCTCAGCCCCACCCCTTACCCTCTCTCTGCCCTAACCCCCCTCACTGCTCTCTGGCTACAGCATCCCAAAGCCTCAGGGAGCAGCCCCCACTGGGCCTGGGCGAAGCTCACTCAGAAGACAGGTCTCCCTCGTCAGAGCTGACCCTCTGCCCTGGGCACCCGTCTAGAGGCCATGGTGGCCCCCCTTGGGAAGGGCACATCTCATAGCTGCTCTTGAGCTATTCCCTACCTCTCCTCCTGCATGAGAACTCCCACGCCCCCTGGAAGACTTTCTGGTCAATTCCTAAGTGGGTGCCTCACTACTGGGGAGAAGGAAAGTACAGCCATCAACAGTCTCCCCTACCCTAGCTTAGAGCTGTGCTCCTAGGGAAAGGCTGCAGGCTCCTTGAATGGAACAGTTTCCATTCTTAAAAGAAAACATAAAACCTTCCCAGAATAGGAGCCAGCCCCGTAGCTGAGTGGTTAAGTTCACGGGCTCTGCTTTGGCAGCTCAGAGTTTCAGTGGTTTGGATCCTGGGCACAGACCTAGCACTGCTCATGAGGCCATGGTGAGGTGGTGTCCCACATGCCACAACTAGAAGGACCCACAACTAAAATACACAACTATGTACTGGGGGACTTTGGGGAGAAGGAGGAAATAATTTTTAAAAAATAAAATAAAATTTAAAAACCTTCCCAGAACAGAACAGGAAAGTACTGGGTAGGTGGGTCTCCAGGTACACCCCATCCGAGTTTCCTTCTCCCATTTGGTGCTGTGCCCATGGCACCTGGTCCCAGGGTTTACTGCCTGACTTTCTCTCTGACCCAAACAGTTTGAACATCCAATTCCATTCTCTTGTTCCCTTTGGCTCAACCAAGATAGACTATAAATTTTAAAATGATTGTAGCCAAAAGCCTAGGGAGAAACAAAAGGGAACCAAACCCAGGAAATAAAAGACAGTTAAAGCTTACCAAAATAAGCAGGTTTCAGATCCTAGAACAGCAAACTTGCTTTTCCCTGACCGTGAAGTTGGCCCAGAGGTCGCCTCTGCTCCCCTCCATCCCGCCCACCGGCTGCACCAGAGCAGGGTTTGGATCAGGACTCTGTCACACAGGATGTCTGGGAGGCACGGTGATGGGGTGAGAGTGCACTAAGGTTGCAGATGTGCAGATTACCCTTGAAGGGAGGCACAGCTTTCCTCGGGTCTGCCTCCCTAGCACCAACTCACGGCCTCGCACTGAGGAGATGCTCAGTAGTGACTGGGGGTGGAATGGCTATCCCCATCTCGTCTAGATGCTGCTGCCAGATTAGTCTTCCCTATGCACTCATTTCATCCTGGCACTCTTTCTCTGTTCTATACCTCCACCAGCCAATCTCCCCCTGAGTCTCCTAGATATTGTTCCAGAATTACAGATACCTACCAATGTTACACTGAGAACTTCCAACTCTAGCCTTTCAACTTAGAGCTCTAGGGGCACTGACTTGCCCATGGTTAGAGCTTGTCAGGGACAAGAGGCAGGAATAGGATGAAGGTGGCAAAGCTCCAACTGGAATACCTATTTTGAGGGGATTTTCTTCTTCACTAGGGTAGACAGTGAATGGTGGGGGGAAATGACTCTGCAGTGATAATAAATGAACATGTTAGGTCAGACTT